AGACAGGTATTGCTCTGCAGTAATATAGGGTTCATCAGGTTGCTATCAATTTACTATTAATCTTTGGATTCTTTAATTCTAGCATTTTGCCTATCCTTAATTGGAGAGTCCTTGTAAATCCCACTTTTAACATGGAAACAAAGCTTTGAAAAAGCTTTCAATAGTTTGTTTACTTTTGAGATGTATTCTCTCATTTCTTATTCGGCTCCTATTGTTTTCATTTACATCAAGATGGAAAGGTGAGTTAATGATTCATTGGCACACAGTGACCTTTCAAATAGCTCTGGACCACGATGCAACAGCTCCACGTGAAGCTCTCATACTTTAACCTCCTTGTTTCTGCCTTAATACTCGCAGCCTGATCTGTCTACATGCCTGGACGCCTGAAGAGAGCAAACATTTACAGCTTCTCCCTCCCCTGTGTTTAGTGGGCAATTTGATCCTTCTTTGTCCATTCCTTTATTTTACATCACTCTTAGACTTGACTTGCTATTGAGAACAACAAAGTACAACTTTGGGAATCTGTTTATTTAACACAAAAATGGACTCAGACTCTGATTCACCTTTTAATTACTCTTGGCCTTCCTTACCAAAAATGAGGATTCGAAGAAGGGCATCCAAATCAGGTAGAAAAAGCTGTCTTCTTTTAAATTACTTTTGCTTATTAGCTCTGCCTTCTTTTCATTGTCTGATTGTGTGCAGGTGGCTATAAACAGTTTCCATAAGGTGGATTTTCTTCCCATCAAAAGTCTACCTCACTGTTAGTTATGCTTTTGTAGATAATGGTGCTGGAATTTAAGTAAGAAGAAAGTATTTTCTCCAAATTATGTACTGTTCTTTAAAACTGCTTTTATTTCTTTACTCTCTTAGGGCTTTGTTTTCTACTGGTAGCATGTGTAGCTCTCGCTGAGCAGCTCTGACACCCTGGGAGCTGCACGGGTTAGCAGTTTCTGCACAGAAAGCTCTGCTGGTTACAGTTTTCATTTAGGGAGCATTTGCTAATTCAAATGCACCTCAACAGCTAACAGGATTTAAAAACAAAACAAAACAAAACAAAAATCTTACCAAAATAAAGGGGGAAATCTTCCTCTTTCTGTAAAGAAAGGGTCAGTTACTTTTTTTGGTGGCAGGGTCAGTTACTGTCTTTGCACAGTTAGACATTGTCCTCATTTGGGAGGTCAGCATTATAAATGTTGTCAGTATGAAAAAGGGGTTTTAAGGGTGTTGAAAGGCACTGACCAGCAAGTTTATGTTAGAAAGAATTATCATTGAAAGCTTTAATGAGGAAAGATAAATTTTTGCTACATTTAAAAGCAAAGAAATTAAGAGAAAGAATGGCAAAAATGTAATTTGTGCCTCCTTCCATAAATTGCTTTTTTGTGTTTCATAAAGGGGAAAAATAAGAGAAGTAAGATTCATCAGTGTCATTAAAGTCAGTGAGCCAGGAGAATCATGTTTACACAGAATGAGACTTTGACTTAGTTTTAGAGTGAAAAATGTGTATTTTGCACATTTTAACATGCCTAAAACTTTCTGAATTTTTAACTTTTATTCATGGGGAAATCCAATATTTCCCAAGCACATAGGAGTTTCTGCAATGTGTATGGATGAGCATGCAGTTTTGTCAAGAAGATGACGTGGGTTGCAAGTTGCATGGTATGTGTTCTTTACATCTCTCATAAGGACTCATTTTATCTGTAAATGCTGTTGTAACGCACCCATGCTCCATGGCACTTCTGTTGTTACTTATTTTACCTTTAGACAGGTTTAGGTTTCGTTTTTTAATACTTCAGCTGTTGTAAAGCACTGTATACAAATCTGGTGTTTTCATGTTATAGTATTGTATCTTGTTTCCCATCCCTGTTAATAGTATACCGACACATGTGGCTTGTATGCCCAGCTGACAATATATTGGAGCAAGAAGGTGCTCTTGGGTGCATGTTTTAGTGGTAAAGTCCAAGGGTTCACTTGTGCTTGGGGAACTGAAATCCTGTCTGTCTGTGGGTGGAAGAAGTGCCTCTGCAAGGGAACAGCAGACTCATTATCTATGCTCATGAGCTGTGTCTTTTTCTTGTAGTATCTGGACATGGCCAGTTGATCCTGACACACAGGTGTGGGGCACATACACCACAGCTGCACTTACTTCATGCAGAAGTTCGGGTCTCAGTGAAAAAGACACTTTAGTGCCCAGTGGGAAACAGGGCGATATTCTTCCTCTCCACACTGAAAGTCATGAAGTCATTGCGTACCTGTTCAGGGTGCTCCAGCTAATATGGGCAATGAATTGTCAGCGTCCTTTTTTCTCCTATGAATCAGCCAGCTGTTGGTTTCCTGGTCTGGGGTTGCTTCCCTTGGGAAGCAGAGGAACTGTGCAAAACTCCGGTGGGAATGTCGAAAGTGGAAAGTCTCACACTCCGCTTTGTACCATGTGCATCAGGGTTTTCAGATTTTAAGTTCCTTGCATGCTCCAAGGTCAGCTTTTGTCCCTGCCTGGGGACCTCTCAGACTGGTTGGTGAAGCCCCTGTCTTCCCCCTGAACTCGTGGGGGCTGGCAGGAACCAAGTGCTGGCTGTTCACCTTTTGGGCCATGCATTGCAGACTCCCTGTTGCTGAGGCTGCATGTGCATGGCATAATTAAAGGTTAATTAGGCTCAACAGAGCATGTGAACATGACTGTGTCTTAGTGATAGGGCTGGAAAGGGGGAGTCTGAGTTTTGTTCCTTTCTGCAAGATCCCTAATGCTATTTATTTTGTTATTTAATGTGAAATGGCCATAAAGCAGGTCTCTTCTCCCTTGCTCTTGCGATGCATAGTCCTGCCTGTTCAGAGGCAGTGACTCTCAGAGCCTTTCTGGAGACATTAATAACCTTCAGGGGTGCTGAGAATATCTGTCTCTGACAAGTCTGTCCCACTGTGCTGGGAGGTGGGAATTATGCACCAAGTCTACTTGGGAAGAGGGAGGTGAAACTGAGCATCAAAGTACTTTATCTGTTGTGCTGTTGTGTATAAAATGAGACACCAACTTTTTTCTGTTTGTATATTCATTTGTATAGTATGTAAGGTGCCTGCTTCAGGGATGGAGGTTAGGACTGTGAATCCCACGTTGGAAACAGATGCTTTCTCCCATCCTATGTTTAGGTGATAAAGATCAAAGTCAGTGATTGAAAAGTGTCTTTATTCTCAGTTCTTCTTAGTGGCTACTTTAGGACCACATCTTGGATGTAATGGTATGATTTCTAGCATCCAGGTGCCTGTTTCTCTCCATGTAATATATAGGAAACGCAGTGCTTTGGTTTCTACTTTGTAGATTTAGGACAGTTAAATGTTCATCTTTATGACAATGGTACTTCAAAGCCTACCTTGCTATACCCTCTGTGTAATGCTGTTCTTATATACTTGCTTAATTTTGCTGTTATGAGTAGTTGCACTGTCTGAAAAAAAGCACTAAAACACCTGGACTAGGGACTAAGATGTCCCACTGAAACTGGTTGTATGGTCCATATCTACAGATGTGCATGTCACTTCAGTTGGCCCCTCACCAGGAAAGTGTGGACTTTTTCTCCAAATTCAGGTGACCACTTCTGGATTTAGAGGAGTATTTCTGCAGTCCTGCATGACCCATGTGCATAGCCGTCTGCATTTTTCACTGATTCCTTAGCTCTGTTACTTCCAGTTATACATTAACGCCTGCTCAGATTGCTGGGGGTAGATGTGATGAGCTGTCCGAAAACTATTCACTGTATCTAGAGAAGGGAATTTGTAATTTCTATCCTGGCTCTTGGCTTGGTGACATTGATGTACTTCACTCCTCTTTTTCTGTGTGCTCTCTCATAGAATGATTTAAGCTTTGATGTTTATGGAACAGTCAGTGTTACATTCTTGCCATTTTCCAACACAGGTCATTTAAGGCTATACATTTTCTTACGCCAGCATAAAACATGTTTTGAATTATTGCTATGATGATCATGTGGATTTTTTAAAGTATTTTCATAAGCTTTTGTGCCTGGTAAAATGTGCAGCCTCTGCTGTTTAACTTTGATGACAACTTTACAGAAGATGTAGAGATCTTGTGCTTAGTTATTTGTTGATCAAGGATATTTATTTTATCCATGTTTGGAGATTATCCTTCCCAGCACTGTAGCTTTTGTTGACCTACATCTAAATAACACATGCATCTTTCTTGACTGTTTACCAGGCAAATGGCAGAGAGCCACAGGCTCTACTAAAGGAGACATGCCTTTATTTTATTCTTTTTCTGTGGTCATGGCACAGAACACAACCAGAGAGCATTCAGATCTGGCAGTGGGATCAGCTTGGTGAGCCGTACTTGCTGGGTTGTTTCAGTACTAGAGTCAATTCTGCTGTGTTTCATTTAGGTCATTTTTACCTTAGTAAGCATCTTGACATCCATTAGCAACACCTTTCATAGTTAAAACTTTTGGGGACACCTTCACTCTTACAAGAAGTGCCAGTTTGCCCTGGCAGTTTTATGTGTCTTTCCATAATCTATGCTCAAGTGCTCATCTGCAACGAGAAAAAGCATTTTGAATGGGTAGGGAAGATTCTTGAGACATGTCGTTTAAACATGTATTTTACTGATACTCCTCATCTTTCAGGCAAGGACAGCCTTGCTGCATATTACTACTGGTACCCAGTGCAGTGAGATATTACTTGCTGCCATGTTAACCTGGAGGAAAGTCTGCTGATAGTCCCCATAAGACCAAGACTTGTAGCCATTGAGGCAGGCTGGAGGCAGTTAGTGGGGCCGTATGAATGCAGTGTGTGATGTGGATGTTTGTGACAGTTTTGTCACTTTTTAAACTATGCAGGCCTGTCTAGTGGAAATAAGTTACTAGCACAGTCAATGTGTAATTAATTGTGCTCTCCTCTGCATTCATCAAAGTCTTTAAATACTTCTCATGTTACAAAGTTAGGTTGATATAGTCATCTCTTCATGCATGTTTGAGATTGGGGGGCGGAGTGGGAGTAAGGAAGTACAGTGGGGTCATACTGCAAAATGAAGCCCAAAATACCTTTTGTTTGTTCATTTAAAACCCCAGTGAATATTTTTCTTTTTTTTTAGAAATCTCACCATTAACAACAGACTGACTAGACCACCCCCAGAAAAACATAGGATGTTTAGCAGTGATAATCAAAGATTTACCACTGGAAAGCACTGCAGATAACATATTCTAACATAACGTATTTGCAGCAGCTTGCTTCAGAAGCTGTTACTTAGGTTGTTACTGTCTTACAGAATTTTAAAATAATGTAAAATGTGGTATTAGAAGTTGCTATATAAATAAAAATGTGAAGTAATTTGTTGTTACTGGCTTGGGATGTATAATTCGTAGTGCAGTCCATTAACTGTCTGTAGAGACCCCAGCAGTGGGGACTGTTGATAACGTCAAGAAACTGTCTCCATAGGCTCGGTTTTACACCATGATTCGGGAATCCCTAGTGCCTGGGCTGTTTTTCAGGGTCATGTATTGAACCTTTGCAAAGTAGCACTGGAGCCGAATACTGCCTTTGCCAGTTGTACACAGTGGGTTTGTATACGAGAGGAAGTGCATGCTGGGGAAGGTAATAAGCATACAAGAAGCAATGGAGAGTCTGATGTTTTTATGTTTCCTGGCCATTGGTTTAAGACCATCTCTTGGAAAGATTTCCTTGCCACAAGAAAGTACTTCCAGTTTTGCCAAATCACATTTCCATATGATTTGAGCTGCCAAAGTCTGAACTGCTGCAGAAAACAATGCTTTTGTACTATTTATAAACAAAAGCTTTGGGATCTGGTCAGACATAAGGAAATAATTGGTAGCTTTAGCAGTTCTCAGGATGGCAGTCTCTAAAATCATGTTAAAATTCTGGCAGGAGGGAGAAGCAAAATGAGAAGTGTAAGGATGTTTTAATGGTATGAGGTCCCACAAGGCCTGCCAGGACTAGAAACCAAATAATTCATAGTGTGCCATTTCTAAATGAGAATTTCCAGTTTTCTCTAAGGACAGAGCTTACTGTTCTTGAGCTTCATGAGGCAGCATCTTAAAATTAAATAAAAGCTGTGGTGTAGCATTGCAGTTTTGGCAGTGGTCTGGGACCCTTCCTTCCTTCCTTCCTTCCTTCCTTCCTTCCTTCCTTCCTTCCTTCCTTCCCTCCTTCCTTCCTTCCCTCCTTCCTTCCTTCCCTCCTTCCTTCCTTCCCTCCTTCCTTCCCTCCTTCCTTCCCTCCTTCCTTCCCTCCTTCCTTCCTTCCCTCCGCCCCAGACTTTGTTAAGTGTAGTTTCTAATCCAGTGTCATTTCTTCATTATATCTGTTCTTACAATCTTATGGCTATAGGCATCTTGGGGGCTTTGAGCAACCTGATCTAGTGAAAGATGTCCCTGCTCATGTCTGGGTGGTTGGAGTAGATGATCTTTAAAGTTCCCTTCCAAAAACCATGCTGTATCATTCTGTGATCTAAAGGCAGTTACACTACTTTAGGAATGTAGCCTGGGGAAAGTGGTATTGTTTCCTTTTCACCCTTATAGAAAATAAATTTCTGATGCAGACTGAGGAGAGTCTTCTGCATAATTTTCAATAACAGTCAAACTGGAATCAAGTTTATTGAGAGTTTTGATTTTTGGATATATGATACTTTATCACATTGTTCTCATGCCACTCTATCTCAGTTGACATCCAATGGCAATGCTTGACATAGCATCCTAAAATAAGGAAAATTATGCTACAACTGTGATTAAAAAAAAAAAAAGGCCTATTTTTACACAGTTTAGAAAAAGATTGGTTTCCACTTTGTCAAATTTTGTTCATTTTACAATCAGAAGATAATATGAGGCCTTGAGTACCAGCTCAAATGATGGATTGGTGCATGCTCTTCATACATATAATCAGCTTTAAGAGAAGTGGGCCTGCAGGACAGACTGACAACGTCTCTGTACAACTTGGTTGTGTTTTCTGTGGCTCAAAGCCTCTTTATTAAGTCAGGCCATGCAGCTTTTTATAATATTTGCAGTCATGAGCACACTGTTGAAAACTAAATTATGAACTTCTGTCAATGATTTCTGGTGAAACTGATAATTTCTCATTTCAGTACCAAAAGCAGACCAGATGCAGTCTTCATCCCAAATATCTTGTTCATGGTCATATCTTGATAGATTGCTATTACCCTGTAAATGCATTCTCAGTGGTATTTTATTTACATCCCTCTTACAATTTTGTTGATTTTTTTAAATTTTTTTTTTTTAAAAACAGTAATCTGCTTTGTTGGTTTAAGGTTAGTATTTATGTTGCTCCCAGTAGGTAGAATGCTTTAGGAAAGTCATTATTTGACTGCAGTTGAACAGTATTCCGTTCATATAATGTAACAGATGTTAGGTGTTTGACACAAAGGCCAGAATCATGCATATTTCATCCCAGTCCATAAATCTTGTCATATGTCGTTCTGCAGCCATGGATCTCTACGAAGTTCTATCTTAGGTGGAAAATAGAAAGTTTTGCTAACCAAGGTGAAGGAACACTTATTTTTAAGTTATATGAATGACTCTGGGGTACCTTTTAGAGTCTTGTCAACTGTAGGCTTCTTGGAACATATAGCAAGTGTTAGGCAATTACAAAATGGGCAAGTTTTTGAGTGGCCACATATATATTACTCAAATTGTAATCCTAATATTTGGTGCTTAATGTTTAACTTGGCCATTTTTATGACAGTATATGTACATGAGTAGAAAATGGTTTGGGATTTAATGGCATATTTTCCACAACTTATTTTTTCCAGAGCAGAGACACTCTACCCTTGATGTATTCCGAAAACTCAAGGCTCCACCTACTTCCTTTGATGCAGCCAGACTTTCTGCCATGATGAGTAGAAGTGATGAAGTATATGCAAACTGCATGGTAGTAGACCAAGTAAGCTTATGTGTGAACTTCTGATAAAGTTTTCATCGTCTTCTGTTAGAGTAGCTTATTTGTGTGGTAGTAGCATCTTCTGCATCTGTCAGAAGTGGTGTGGGTTCAATTAACGAAGCTCTAAAAATGGCCTTACTCTTCTCAGCTTCATTTTATAACACATTTATGAGGCTGATGATAGGAATTATTCTCCCTAGCCTGCAGGGAGAAATCTAAGGCAGGTCTTAGTGTCTTTTCTGTGTGTGAGCTAAATGGTATTTGCTTCTTTCTAAGAAACATTAACACACTGTAACTTGCTCATGTGAACTTCAGATTTTCTGAATTATATGCACATTCACAGGAGATGAATTTGCTGATGCTGGCTAATTTCAGAAGTTAATTATAAGCTTATAGCTAAGCTTATAGGCTCAGCAAAAACGAGATATTGCTGAAAAGGTGAAGTCATTTTCCTACAGGTGTCACAGAACATTCTGATACTAGAGATTCTGGCTTAGTATTAATGTTTCTGATTTATTTGTCACCAGCACTGGAGATGAGCTGGAGTGTTCAGACCAAATTATATTTTACATCACCATATTGCACCTGAAATCCCTCTACCATGGTCACACTCAGATATCATAGCTTGGGCAAGGGGGAATAGTCAAACTCTTATGTATAACGGTTGTGTGTAGTTATACAGCCACCAAATTCTGGTGGCCTGTAGCTGTTTCAGTGATGGGTGAAGTGTTTTATTTATTTGTAAGCTGTTGTGGACTCTCCCTGGGGTGAAATGATCAGATCATAATGTTAGAAGTTGGCTGAGACTTTACAAGTGTGATTTTTTACTTTTTTTCCTTAAAACACTTCATCCACTGCATTCACTGCAGATCCAGATCCATTGTGACAGCTGAGATGAAAGTTTCAGTTAGAGGCCAGCATGTTCAAAATACACCTAAGGTTAAAGAGAGATCCATGAAATAATGACCTAGGAGTGAGCACCTGGCAGGGGACTGTATATGCAATCTGTAAACCCTTGATTTTAACAATCTCCAGGTGGGGAGGAGAGAGCTGCAGAAGTGCAGCTCCTTTACAGATGCAGATGTTACCCGAGTATATTGCTAAAGGGCCTTTCAGTTTGGATAATTAACCTTTGTGGAATACATAACCACGTTCAACATTGTTAAATTGCTGACTGGGGCCAAATTCTCCCTTATGCGCCACACAGCAGGAGCTGGAGCGACTGCCAGAGGAAGTCCTTCTGGTGCTGAGAGGAAGCTCTGCCCAGAAGCTCTGCCCGGGCAGGAGTAACTTGGAAGGGAGGAACAGCTGCGTAAAACCTAAGAGAAGCATTTAACCTTTGTGCATCACATCTGCACAATGCAACAAAAGTACCTGCAGACTTGCATGGGCCATATCTTTGAATGCAAATACAGGCTGCTGTAAAAAAAACAGCGGTTCTTTCTGTCTTTTACTAAGAGAAGCATCATAATGACAAGGATGAAAACACATCTCAAATGGGGCTGGAGAGGAGGAAGTCATCAGTCTTAAAGACCAGGGCTTTGGAGATGCTTACAATCCTTTCTTTCTTCTTGTTTTTAAACACGTGCTTTTTGGGGGTTGAGTGTTCTCACTGGCCACATGACTATTCAGGATTGTTCAGCATCTAAATAGATGACAGTAACATCTAACTAAAAGACTGAGAATAAACTGTATTTTAGTATCATCTGCAGCGTCAACATGAGAATTCAACCTCAGTTGCACAAATAATTATTTGTTATCAGGATCTAAATGCTGATCCCTGTACCTGAGAAATTATAATTCCCAACTCTATTCCTGTCTTTATGCAAGACGAGGGTGTTTCAGGCCCAGAATTGCTTAATGACAAAAAATAAAGATACCCTGGATAACCTATGTTGCAGGTCATGTATATATATCTCAAAGTTTAGTAAATTGATGCTGGATAACTAAAAGTGCATGATGTGTAGGCTGATTTTTTCCAAATTAAATTGCACAGTGTTTGACTTCTCCATATATCTCGCATGCTAATGTATTATGCATATTTTTTGCTTGACACAAGGATATTTTTCAATAAAAGCTCTAAATATATTGATACCTTTATCAAAAGGTATAAATATGAGTGAGAAATCCATTAGACTTGCAAGTACCAGTTCACTGCTACCGTAACTATGGAAAAAAGTAATGCCCTTGCAATCTCTTAGCCACATAACTTGCTTTCAGTTCATGTGCTGTAAAAAGTAATAGGGCAAAAAAGACAAAATGTATAACCATAAATAAAATGGCAAACTAATCTGGTCCTTGTTCCTTGACAGTCCCTCTTGTTACTGCGTCTTACCAGAATTCATTTTTTTCTTTGCAGGCTGGAGATATAAAGACTAATTATGTTCATGGAGATGGTGTCAGCAGTGATATATGTCTGAATCCCACCAGCTCAATCCTGATGGCTAAGAGCTCTTCATCTCCCTCCCTTGAGGACAATGACCAATATATATATGTTCCAAATGCAGGAAACCAAAGGCTGATGAAAAATGAAGAAAATGCAGTTTTAGGACATACTGTTTCAACTTCTGATCCACGTGGAGCAGATTCATACCTTCCATTAAAGACCCAGGGGTTTATTAAGGATCGGGGCCAACTTTATGCTGACATGAAAAGAAGAAGGTATGGAATTGCCTTGATATGGCCAGAATAAGGATTATTTATGATAAACTTTTATTTCAAAAGATGAAGCAGAATCTGGAGTAATAAATACTATTACTGAGTTAAAATCACTGTTTTCAATTACTGATATTTAAATTAAATTTAAATGAATTATCTGTTTTTGTAAATCAGTTATACAGACATTTTTAACAAATAAAAGGTGTCATCTAAGTAAATTCATTTTTAATGTAAATTTGTACTTTTATACCTTTTTTGGTATGTATTCTTAAAAAAAACCCAACAAACACAACAAAACAGCTGTTCATTATAGTGTGGCATTTTTGTCAGAAATTAGAATTTCACCCTAGTTTTTCTCACTTACATCTTCAATTAAGAAAATAATCCAAAATCTGTTGAACTCTCTGGGAATCTTTGTCCATTCTTTGACAATGTGTAGATGGACCAACTTATTCCTGATTCATATATTTATTTTTTTTTTACTTCAAAAGACAATGCAAAGTGCAGCTTACATTTCTGATAGATTTAAGCTGTTTCCTTCCCTTTTGCTGGGACACAAGGTTTGCTGCGAATAGAGCCAGTTGTCTGAGGACCCTCCTCCAGATGACTTCAGGTTATGCTGGGAACTGGTTCGCTTCAGGAATGCAGAGAGCTTTGAAGATGAAACTATAATTTTTGTTTTTAACAGTCAGTAAGTTCCTAAATGAAAGGGCTTTATTGCTTCTTTGCATAGAAGAGACATGAAATCAGTTCATTCTTGTACAGGAGGAAGTTTGAACCTGTCTCCCACCTTTCAAGAGTGTTTGTTTGGACTAGTTAGAGGGGGGGCATCAGTTCTTTGTAAAAACAGTAAGGAAGCAGTAGTGTCTCTCCATTTTTGATTGAAGTGTACAATGACAGTTTTCTCTACCTTAATTTTAAGTTTCCTATACAATTATAAAGTCCTACTAGGAGGAATCTTTTAACACAGATAAGTCAACAAATGTCAGACTAAGAGTTGTTCTTTCCCAAACCTTTTATTTTTGCTAGCTATGGGAATATCACATAGTTTACTATAAATAATCTTCTGATTCTCTGTCATAAACATTTTTCTCCTATACATTTTAAGATATTCCCACCTTTTTTAAGACCTAGGTCAGGTACCTATGTATGAGCTTTAAGAGCTTGTATGAATTTTCAGGGAGATATGATGGACTTTAATATGTCAATGGTGACTCAAACATTACTCATGAAAAAAGACTATTAGTATGTAATTCCAGCAACACCTTCCTTGAACTATCTGAGGTGATGTGGTAAGTTATGTAGCAGATTTTTAACCAGCTTCTTGTAGCAGAAAAATTCCCCAGGTAAGTTAACCCTAGTAAGAAATGTGCACTTGTCTGTTGACATAGAGACATATTGCTTTTCCAATTTTAAAATGTGACAGTAGCTGCTAATGCAGGTAAATAACTTGTTTCTGAGACACCACATGGGCTATTACTAGGAAACATTGCAAAAAGTGGTCCCCAGAAGTGTAATAAAGTAGTAATTTTGGACAGTATCAATAGATTTCCTCTTTGACAAAGTGAATTGTAGTAGTGTGTGAAGAAATTGTTGTGCTATTATTCCTGGTAGGAACTGTGGCTATTTAGAAATACCACACATAATTTAGTTTTATGTTGTAAGGCTGGAATGTTATTGCAATCAGTCAACCATTCCTTCTGGCCACTCTGATGAAGAGACCATGAACTTGCTCTTGCAGCTAATGGGGGCCATCCTGGGAAACCCTGGTACTACTGAGAAACAATACTGCACTCTCCTGCTCAGGAACCCTCACCAATTGAATAGTCCTTAGGTGTCTGAAGTAGTGATTTAGTCAGAGACTTTTCAGTCTGTAGTCCTATATGTTTTAAAGTTTATATCTTTTGAAATGAATCTCATAAACTATCTCAGACCCTCCTTCATCTCTCTTGTTAGTTTTCTCTTCCATCCTCCATCAAGTCAGATGTAGAAAAAAAGATGTCTGTGAATAACCACATCATATCTTTCAAATAGACACACACACACAAAATATCCATATATACCTGCATATCTTCATATTGAAATCTGAGCTAGCTGTCTCAGGACTCCTTATCTGTATAGAGAGGCAGGTACATGTGTGGAACAAAACATCTCATTTTAAGGGAGATGCTGAACATGGGTCTGAAAATCATTGGAGTCTGCATGATTGTGGGTGATGCAAATATTTGTGCTGCAGATCCACAAGGCTGGGTCAGACAAGTCCTGTACAGAGTGGCTGAGGACCCTGACCAGATGCCCACAAGCCTGAGAGGGGATTTGGAGCACGACTGAGCAAACATAATCATGGTGGTTTGGGTTGTCACTGATCAGAGTATACAGCAGTATCTTTGTTTGCATTAAGGTTGAGATGGATCATTACTAGAATTCATGTGACTCAAAGACTTTGTTTTCTACTTCAGCACAAGTCTCAGTGATCTTGAAGTAGATGGCAGAAGTGGAGGTGTTTTGGACAGACCCTGTGTTCACTACCCTCCCCTTGCCTCTTCAGAGGCCATGGATTGTAGTGGAGATGGATTAGACTCACCTACCAGTCTGCAGCCCAAGGTATTTGATACTATCTTGGTTTGCATTGTTTTCCTTTTAAGTAAATAACTGAAAACATGTGAGAAACATCTGAATCTGATGTCAAAAAATGAGTTCCTATTTGGCAGTGCTAGTCTCTGGAGAGCAGCATGCACAGGGTCATGTTGCTGGAGATCCCTGTTTGTGGCTGGGATTGGCAGCAGCCGTGTGAAGCATCCATCAGAGATTTGCTTCAGCTTTGAAAAAAGCATCATTTACCAGAAATGTTTCCAAAGAAATATCTCAGGTTCAGTGAATCAGCATTTCCTAACCAAAATATATTTAGTGAGGAAATGCTTAACCAGATGTAGTTATGGGAAAGGGTAACAGCTTTGTAAAGTATAAAGCCAGCCTGCTGCCTGTTTAAAACAACGGCTAGACACAGGGAAATTCAGCTGGGTTTTGTGCATTGACCAGTGCAAATCTCTCCTCTTTATTAATGGCTTTCTAAAGTATCCTGGCTACATTCATTTTCATTAGACCATGGTGCCATTTCTGAGATCTTCAGACATATATAGAGTTAGTTTTTGTTCATAGAGATTCTTTATGTTTTTATTAGACAGACTTGTCATTGTAAAGTTTTATCTGGCCTTCAGCAAATGATTACATGAAGGGAGAAAGAGTCCAGCACAAATACTAAATTCTGTTAGGGCTAATTTTAAAAACAGTAACGTAAACAGTTTAGGAGTAGGCTCGGTTGAAATGTAAATGATGTTTCATAAATCAGGAGGTTTCATTTCAAGCCTTATCATTGACATGTTTGGAATCATAAAATCCTTTCAAGTGCAACAACAACAACAACAACAACAACAAAAAGAGAGAGAGGGAAAAGAGAAGGAGGCTCACACCTTTCTTTTGAAGCTCTGACATCATTAATTACCAAGCAGGGCATTATTCTCCATGAAATGTCTTGAGGTATTAAAGTACTAAGATTAATGGCTGGCTTGGTAAAAGAAGATAGCCTTGGTCATCAGAAATAATGGCCAAAACCACTGTTTGGACGGTGCTTGCCACCAAACTGGAGAAGAATGTAAGATTTCTCACAGTCTAACTTGCACCCAGAAATTATCTCCTGTAATGTACAAAAATTTATCATAGTGGAAATATGATAGACTTTCTAAGAATTCAAATGAAGTATTAAAAAATTGTACTTAAAGCTTTAATGAAGTCAAGAAAACGTATACATGTGGCCAGCTGTCTGTCTTCCAGAAATTCAGTCACTGATTTGTTTTGTTTCTGTTGCGGATGCCTTTCGAAATGACACGTTTTAATTTGCTGCAATTTCTGTAGGAATCCGCAGTGTCTGGGGTTCGGTCACGCTCCTATTCCTACTCCTCGCCCAAAGGTTTATTAGGAAGACCTTGCATTCCTCAGGACTTTGCAGCTGGGGATTCGAATGAAGGTCAGTGCTCTGGCTTTGCATCTGCACAGCCTCATCTCGTGTCTGTTGGCTTCAGGCCAGTGCTGACGGCTCTATTCGGGGCTGTTGTGTACACAGACCTTGCCAACACATGTGACAGCAGGGTTTGATTTCCTTTGAGTACCCCTACTATCATCCCTTGCTCTTCTCCCATCTACTGCCTCATCATGCCTTCCCCTGATACACTATCTGATCCATGGGAGGGCACCCAAACTAGGAGACCATTAGTCAGAAAAAGTAATGTAGGCAAGGGCAGTAATCTTTTCAGAAGATCCTTACCCCAACCTCCCACTAGATGTGCCCAGCAGAGACCACAACGAAGCTCAGGATGACACAGAGATGTCAAAGAAGGTAGATGGCCCCAGCTTCCCATGGATAGCAGGGAATCTCTGAAACATGGATGGCCTATTGTCACCTCTACAGGCTGGGAAGCAGAACCCATCCTCTCCATCAAGTGGAGTCAGAGATGTCTCTGCAAGAAGCTTATAATTTTTTACAAATTGTTTCTAACATGCTTTATATTTCTAGACACATAGTTTCATATTTAGAAGGCAACCCACACTTTGTGCAGTAAGGGTATGGGCTATATTTGAAAAACATACAAAGGGTGAAATACATATACTGTGCTTTTCATGTGGATCACATCACTTAAACCCTTGCATTTCAAGAGACTTGGCCTCTGTCCCTATAACCCTGGCCATTGCAGTACTTCCAGCTGGTCTCACCCTCCAGTATACCTTTAGCTTTCCACTAGTCCTGAGCAAGAGGTAAGACATGTGAATTACAGTAAACCACATGGGATGAACTCACAGAAGTTTTGGATGCCCTGCCGTTGGAAGTGTTCAAGGCCAGGTTGGATGGGGCTTTGAGCAACCTGGTCTGGTGGAAGGTGTCCCTGCCATGTGTTGGAGTAGGTGATCTTTGAAGGACTTCCAACCCAAACCATTCTGTGATTCTATGACACTGAATGTAGAAACACAAAAAAAAAAAGTTGTGAGAATGTTACTGTTGACTTTGAAACCAGTTATCAAGTTTAAAAATTGTTGTGAAGGTGAGGTGGAAGAAGCTGATGGGCAGACATATAGCAACTGCAGACATCTTTTTTCCTTAAGAAATTGTGTTAAACAGTGCAGCAAAACTTGTTTGTGGTTGCTCAAATTCACTGTAAGATTTCATGTCCCCTTGTAAGGAGTATGTACTACAGCCTGCAGCACACAGCTGTGTTGTATTTTTCCACATCACTTAATGTATTTGTAACCATTTGTATCCAACAGATTAGGTGAGAAGTCTTTGGCAAAACAAGGCAGAAGAAAAAGAGGGAGGTATGTCGCAGAAGCAGAGGATGGCAGATCAGCAAAGCTGTGTGTGTGCTTAAAGTTAAAACAGAATTCTTTTGACCTTGCAGCTAAGGGACTGTTGGTGTCACAGCCCATTAAGCTTCATCCAGATGCCATTACCTGCTCTGGCCTGATCTGGGTTCAGGCCCATGTCCTGTTCATTCTCTCTCCCCTTCCTCCTGGGTGCTGGACCTTCACCTCTCTTGTGGGGAAGGTGGAAACCCTTTCCTGTTCATGCTTTGGAAACAGGCTGTTCTGCAGCTCACACCACAGATACTGTGTGCTGCTGGGAGGGAGGGTGGTGGTCTGCTGAAGTGCCTGCTGGTGCTTCCCTGCCACCAGCACTTCCTGCCTTGTCCCTTCCTTGTCAGCATTTTGCAAGGCTGGGAGTACTGAAGAGAGTTTGGCAGTTGGCAGTGGTGATTACTGTGTGAGGTTGGCATAGCTGTTCTCACTTTGAGCAGTTGCAGCTGGGTATGGGACTAGCTCAAGAGCTTGGTCCAAGAAGCTAGGTCAAATAGTTCATCTTGATCTCTGTGGGCTGTAGTGGGATCGTGTCTGGGCCTGTGCAGGTGTCTGAACAATGAAAACCTGCCCCTTCCCCTCTGCCCTCTGTTTGGACATCTCACTCAGGCCTTAGCTCTGCAGGAGAGAGGTGCAGCTGACCTTGTATGTTGCAATGAAATGTAAGCCGCAGCAGACAAATGCAAGATGGCAACAGGATGGTCTTTTGCACAAGTACAAGAAGAAAGTGGGAAATGACCATCCACTTCTGATGGAAGCTTTTCAGTATGCTCAGGTTTAAAACAACTACCTGCTTTTATTCATGAAAGTATTACCAGGCTGTAACAGTAAAGGATTTGTCCCTGCTCTGAAGATGGTGTGCTCATGAACAGTGGTCAATCCCTCCTTCAGGCTCTTTCACTCTAAGTCAGTGTCTCTGCTCCACCCTTGTAGTAAGTACCTCAATGCCAACCCCACAGTGCTTTTTTGCATGAGGCTGTCTTCATCTTCCGTGGGTACATGGCCTTTTTTTCTTCCGAAAGCATCCAGCGGCACAGGTTGTGCCTGACAACTAACTGAAATGCACTTTTAGTCTTGCTGCTTCTTTGGCAAATAATCTAGCTCTCACTAACCTGGTGTACATTTGTCTGAAGACACACTGATTTAGTGAAGTGTGTTTAAGTTTGTATGTAATTTTAAAGAAGGCATAGTCTGATGCTTTGACTTAGACAGGTGTTAAAGTATCTTTCTGAACCATACTTGGAGTAGCTTTGCAAAAAATGTCTGTGAAAGGAATAGCTTCTAATTTTGAAATGATAGAGTGGTCTCTATCCTTTTCTCTCGCTCTATTCCCCCC